TGCACTATTTTTATGGATCATAAGAGTTTGCATTATCTAATGGATTAGCCTAACCATAATACGAGGCAACATCATTGGTAGATATTCTCAAGGATTATGACTATGAGGTTATTTATTGCCCATTCAAGGCTAATATGGTGGCCGACACTTTGAGTCAGAGGATGATTAGTGCACCTAATCAGGATGTATTTTTTGTTTTGATAGTTCTTTCTCCACTTTTGGATCTCATCAAGGGGCTCATACTGATGTGGTCTTGGAGAATAATCTCAAGAGTGAGAGGATCGCAAGATAGATTTTCGTATTTTACATCGATAGTTAGGGATTATTCATGGTAGGGATTGGGTTTTGTAGTCGGGTAGGCCCCGAATGGTATTGATAGAGGAGACACACAAATACAAATTTTTGATTCATCCTTGTGCAACTAAGATGTACCAAGACTCGATAAACAACTATTGGTGGCCCTTTATGAAGATGGATATAAATTCGTATGTGGAGCCGTGCTTGACTTGTCGAAAAGTCAAGGCCGAACATCAGCAGCCTCACAACAAGTTACAATCATTGGATATCTCATTATGGAAATGGGAGCAGATCAACATGCATTTCATCACCAAAATACTGAAGACTACGAGAGGGTTCGATACGATTTAGTTTATTGTGGATTAGTTAACCAAGAGTGCACACTTCATCGCTATCCAAGAGAGTTCTTCATACTAGAAATTAGTCGACATCTACATTCAAAAGGTGGTTACTCGTCATGGTGCCAATCTTTGTAGTTCCAGATTGGGATGTTAGTTTTACTTCTAGGTTTTGTAAGAGATTTCACGATGAGTTGGGTACTCAGTTGCGTTTCTGCACTACTTATCATCTGCAGACAGACGGTCAGAGCAAGAAGACTATCTAGACCTTAGAGGCTATATTGAGAGCTTGTGTGCTTGATTTTGGTAGGAGTTGGGATTCGTATATTCTTCTAGCTGAGTTATCCTACAACATCATCTACCATGCCAGTATTGATATTCCTTCTTTTGAGTTGCTTTACGGGAGAAAGTATCGGACGATGATATATTGGGGTGATATCGGACAAAGAGTCATGAAGAGCATAGAGATAGTAATCAAGACTATTAGTTTGATTTAACAAGTGAACGGGAGACTTCCAACCATGCAATGTCGAAATAATAGCTATGTAGGTCGGTGTCGATCCGATTTAGAGTTTCAGGTTGGGGATCTCGTGTTGTTGAAGTGCCACCTTGAAAGGGTGTCATAATGTTTTGGAAGCGGGGAAAGTTGGGTCCTCGGCTTATTGGACCTTTTTGAGTGATTTCTCGGGTGGGCAAGGTTGATTACCGATTGGATCTGCTTGAGGAGCTCAACCAGATCCAAGACACTTTTTATGTTTCTTAGCTCCAAAAGTGTTTAGCTGATGAGTCGGTTGTGGTACTGTTGGAAAACATTCAGGTAGACGAGCATCTAAATTATGTGGAAAGACCCACTGCGATCTTGGATAGGAAGACAAAGGGCTTACGCAACAAGGTGATGAACTTGGTGAATGTGCAGTAGCGGCACCAGAAGGGTTCAAAATGGACATATGAACCCGAGGAAGAGATGTGTGAACACTATCCTGAGCTATTTGTTGCATTGGATTTCGATGATGAAATATGATTCAAGTAGGGGAGAATGATATCATCCATTTCCCAGTATGTAATTTAATCTGGTTTTAATTTCCATAATTCACTGAAATCTAAAAAGTTGGAATTAATCGTAATGGATGCGGGGAACCCCTTATAGGGGGTGACACGCCCAAGTCCATGGGTTGAATGATTTATAAGGTTTTTAGGATTATCTAAACACACTTAAGCCTCTATGGTTGGATCATTTGTAGCCTCCATCTCCCTAGAGCGTGTTTCTAGAAACCCTAGTCCATCTCTTTCTATTTTGAGATTGGTTTCACCTAAAGCATTGAACTGTAGAACAAGTGTAGATCCAACAAGTTTGCACCTTTCTTGGACCTTTGTGAGTTTAAAGCTTTAGTCTTTCCTTTTTTTGCTAGATTTTTCTTGTTGTCCATTTTATTCACTTTAGTCCCAATTTGGTGGTGAGCTTGGGGTTGAGATCACTCCAGCTCCTTTTAAACACTCAAGGTTGTTCTATAGAGCATTTGGACTTAGAAAGTTGGTATCTTATGCATGTTCTTTGATCCATGCAAGTTGTGTTTGCATTTTAGGTTTTGATGTTTAAAATTTCGATCTTGTTGGATTGGAGTGCCTTAATGGATAAATTTACAAACTTTATCCATTAATACACCGTTAAGGACCAAATCTGGAAGTTTGGGGGATTGACTTAATGGAATAAGTCATTTTTCCTTAAGAATAAGGCATGAGCTCACATATTTCCCACGCACGATGTGCCTTTCTAATTTATATGTATCACACATGTTTATGTTGGGAAAGTAGACTGTTTTGTCATTTATTGGGCGCAGGGCATCCTTATGAGGTGTAGGGCGCCTGTTTAACCAAGTTGTTGACTTGTTGAATTTTTGACTAAGTTTGTCCTTGGTTCAAACTTTAGGGTTTTAGGCCATGGGTTAAGATTTGACCTTTCATTTAATGTTCAGGTGGTTTGTAGGACCAGTGTATACTTTTCCTGTGAGCTATGGTGTTTTTGTACTTTGACTATGAAGTAAGTTTTCTCACTATACCATGTAGGATGCTAGATGCTTATGAGGCGTAGGGCGCATGTTTAACCAAGTTGTTGACTTGTTGAATTTTTTACTAAGTTTGTCTTTGGTTCAAACTTTAGGGTTTTAGGTCATGAGCTAAGATTTGACCTTTCATTTAATGTTCAGGTGGTTTGTAGGACCAGTGTATACTTTTCCTGTGAGCTATGGTGTTTTTCTGCTTTGATTATGAAGTGAGTTTTCTCACTATACTATGTAGGATGCTAGATGCTTGTTGTCTTTGTACCTCTTGCATGGTTGTTTTTATGTATGTTGGGTGAGGCCCGTTATTATCTTTATTGGGTGAGACCCGAGGCCGAGGCCCGTTTATATATTATTTTGGGCGAGGCCCACTTATATGTTTGTTAGGCTAGGTCTGTTATGGTATGCGGTGTCTTGGGGAAACTTACTAAGCTTTTTGCTTATGGTTTTAAGTTTAATGTTTCAAAATACTTCTAGTTGCATTGGGAAAAGTCTAGCTTGATTGCATCGCATCTACTAGAGATTCCGCACTATCTATTTTATGTTTTACTCTGATGTTTGTTGAGACTACGTTTTATATACTATGATTATCTTTTGATGCAACGGAAATTAATGGTTTTATCTTATTTTAAAATGAAAAAATTTACTCTATATTTTGGGACGTTACAATGTAAAGTTGAAAGGTGAGAATAGACTATGTGATGGACATTGGATGTGTAGTTGCCTATTCATTGCATTTATTATGTTATTATGATGTCCATAATTTATATTATACTTATATGTATTTGATAGTTGATTTCTAAAAATCATAAAGTATGTTGTTATATTTGCGAGTTGCTTTTTATGAAGTTTATAGTACCGTTGTTATTCTAAAACAAGTATCAACCGAATGTTTTAAAGTTGTTTTTGGGGTTTAACCTTGAGATTGATTGATTGCACTCAACCTCTACCCTAAATATGTTAGCCTTGGTTTATCTCACGATGCTTTGCAAACCTTTACTACATTCTATTTTGACATGTACTCAAGTTAGAGGAAGCAGTTATAAATAAGTAGACTTTTGGGCATTTAGAAGACATCATCTTGTCTTTGATATTATGATGATGATTCCTAAGATTTTACACAAAAATGCATTTGAAAGACTTTTGGGACCGTTTATTCCTCAAGCTAAGCTTTTAAAGATGTTTTGAGAACTTTATATTTAAAAGGTGTTGTTTTTGGTTTGTTAAAATATTTTTAAGAGTAAATTACACGAATGGTCCTTATGGTTTGGGTAATTTGCACGTTTGGTCTCTAACTTATTTTTTTAACTCGGAAGGTCCTTACGGTTTGTTTTTGTTACGTGCTTGGTCCCTACAGTTTGTTTTTGTTACGCACTTGGTCCCTGTTTTACCTAAAACGACTATTATTTAAATAAGAAAAAATGGTGAGGTAGGTAAGGTAAGGTGAGTGGGGTGGGGTTGGGGGTGTGTTTAGTTAAATAAATTAAAATATCAAGGGAAAAATAGTATCTTTAGGTAAGACAGGGACCAAGCGCGTAACAAAAACAAACAGTAGGGACCTTCCGAGTTAAAAAAATAAGTTAGGGACCAAACACGCAAATTACCCTAAACCATAGGGACCATCTGTGTAATTTACTCTATTTTTAAACTAGATTTTAATGAAACTCATGCGAGAGATGTTTCACACTGGCATGGAAATATAGCATGTAAAGAATCATTAAAAAAAAGTTTAATTAAAGGACTTAACTATAACCAGAATTCAGGATTAGAATAATCGATTCCCTTGCATTCATTCGATTATGCACTACCCTAAGTTGGTTTTCCTATGGCTTCTTCCCAATGATAGAGATAAAATCATGCTCAGATACTAACGTATTAAATTAAATATTAAAAAAACAAAAATGATAAAAAAAAAAAATCATTTCATGTTTTGGAGGTATTAAATCCAAAAAAAAATCTTATTTTGGACCGGTAGTAGTGCAAGTTGATTTTTTTTGATCTGTCTGTCTGTAGTTTCTCTCTCTCTCTCTCTCTCTCTCTAGATCTCTCTCTCTCTCTCTCTCTCTCTCTCTCTCTCTCTCTCTCTCTCTCTCTCTCTCTCTCTCTCTCTCTCTCTCTCTCTCTCTCTCTCTCTCTCTCTCTCTCTCTCTCTCTCTCCTTAAGAAAATATGATATTTTAAAATTTATAATTATAAAGATCATTCTTACAAATATAACATTGCAAGATAGTCAACTTGGAGGTGCTATAGAGTTAGAATCGCTTTTACCCATCAACACATAATCATATCAAGAATTTCTTCGTTGATTTATGGTGTCATGGTATTGTCCGTTGACTCATTGAATTTTGGAAACCGATTACTGTACAAACAGTGACAATGATTCATGACAACTTTCAATTCCAGCAATACTGAAAATCAACATTTGTCGTCTTGGATGGCTCCTTTCTTCATAGTTAATAGTGCGAGGATTGTAATTATCTTTAAAGACAAAGTGCATTCAATATTGCAAGCAACGTGTTTGATCTTAATTATATCACAGTGAAGACCATAGGCAAAGTTGACTTGCAATACGCTTAAGTATTTACAGACATTACAAGAATTAATCGTGTGACTGTATCAGTTTAAATGTTGATGATGTTCGATCCAAGTTCAATCCTTTCATGTATTCTCACCTTCTTGTCTACAATTCTTTTCTTTTTAGTAACTGGTATTCAGGCACAAGCCAAAATTCTTCCTGGAGATGAAGGCAAGTTTTTAATTAAGTTTGATTCTTCATTTTCTCAAAATAACAGGTGACTTAATCCTTGTTTATGTGTGAATAACACCTCAAATATAAGATAATATGTGAACCTTGACTATTATTTCAAAATGGATAAGATATAAGCAACAGATACCCGAAAGTATTTGATGTTATTTTGCAGTGAATGCGCTTCGTGAAATAGCTAAAGAATTGGGAAAAGAAGATTGGAATTTTGACCTGAACACATGTGATGGAGATCCCAGTTGGAACACAAATGTACAAGATCCAAGTTCTCAGTATAACAACAGTGTTGTTTGTGATTGCTCGTATCCTGGCGGTGTTTGTCACGTTGTTGAGATGTATATATGCAGTTTTGTTTCATTTTTGCTTACTTTAAACGAATCATCTATTATGGTTACATATATAGATCACTCCACTGTTATCCAAACATAAGTTCCTCTCACTGGTATGAATGTGGAATTTGTGTAAACAAAAATTAGAGGCCTAACTTTCCTTTTGAACAGATCTGTGAAGGGGCAGGATCTTGCAGGAGTTCTTCCTCCATCCCTAGCCAAGTTACCAAATATCAAGATAATGTAAAACAAAGTTTTATGTATAAAAAGATACCATGCTTAAATATATCATGATTCATTACAACATGGGTGGCTTGTTGCAGTGATTTATCGTTTAATTACCTAAATGGCACCATACCTCCTCAATGGGCATCAACAAAGCTGAAATTCATGTGAGTTAATTATACACGAATCTCATTTTTCGATCTCTAAGTTCATTGATATCTATAAGAGTTCCAACTTCCTAACGATTAAAACTTACTATAATCCAGATCTGCTACAGCTAATCGCTTGACAGGGAGTATTCCAACATTTTTGGGCAACATAACCTCACTTTTATATCTGTATATTCTCTCTTTCTCTCTCAAATTTTTATGATGATACTTTGTATGTAATGTTATTGCATTCTTCACGTTGGTTTCTGTTTTAAGGATGATAAAATGGATAACAGGGGACTGGAGAACAACATGTTCTTTGGAGCTGTTCCTGCTGAGCTTGGAAAATTAAAAAATTTAGCATCTCTGTAAGACCTTCTTTGTATTGTAGCTTTACTACAAACTTTTTTGATTGTAGCTGCTTTGGTAACTACTGACTAACTGATACATGTTTATTCTCAAATTGTAGGGTCTTGAGTGCTAATAATCTCACTGGTAAATTGCCGGAGGAGCTTAATTCTCTGACCAATTTGATAGAACTGTATGCATAATGCACCCTTCCCAAAAAACATTATAGTATAAATTTTCATGCTATACACTAGCTAGAAATTTATCTTTCCCATTTCGTAGACTCATAACTGCTTCTCAGTTCTCACCTTTGTGCAGCCGGATAAGTAGCAACAACTTCAGTGGGAAAATTCCAAACCTTGGAAACTGCACAAAACTTCAGAAATTGTAAGTTTTTTTATTCAGTATTGCTATTTGTATATCTCCAACTAACAAGTTTTCAACGCCCTCCAAAAAACTAGAATGAAAAAAGAAAATAAAAATACTCATGTCTTCCATGATTAAGACATTAGATACTCACTAACATAACCAAAATGGAGGTGTTGTTTCACAAAATGATCATTTTCGGAAACTATCACAAAATACTCACCCATTTTGTATAATATATTTCCACCAAATTAACAAAAAGTAGTTGCGATTCACTGCAAAGCAATTTCACAAGTTAAAATATTTTTGCCAAGTTCATTTTGCAAAATAATTACTGTATTGTTATAAGATATTGTTCTTCTTTATCTTCATCATATTAAAACCAAAACCCTATATATATATATATATATATATATATATATATATATATATATATATATATATATATATATATATATATATATATATATATATATATATATATATATATATGCGGTAAGGATGTATATATTCGCAGTCTAGCCTCCACCCAAAGGTAGACGACAGCTTCCACAGATGACTCGGACATATGAAATGAGGACCCTTATTTTTATTAGGTTTTTACAAACTTGACTCATATGTTTTTATTACTATAGTTTAAAAATTAATAAATTATATTATCAAAAATTCATAACCAAAACAGATTCTTCATGTATATAATTAACTAGGTTAAAACCCGTGTAATAGACAGGGTTGATTACTTAAATTAACAATAATAAATGATAAATGACTTAGTATAAAAAATAAATAACAAAATTCAAATACATGTAAATCTATAAAAACTAAGAAATAATATTCACATTGTTTTATCTTCCCTAAAATTTTAGTGACAAACCTAATTATAGAACATTAAATTTCGGATGACTTGTTTGAAAGTACATTGCCAAATGATAGATTCCTAATTATAGCATTGTACTTTGAAAGTACATTGCTATAATTTGGATAACCAAAAGTAAAAGATAACAATTACAACAATGTATTTTCAAAGTACAATGCTATAACTTTTGTAATTAGTCACTATATTAACGTAAAATCACTAAAATAAACAAATATTGAAACCTCTCTTTGAGTTTTTATGTTATTATGTGCAAAAATTATGTAACAAGCTTCAACATTTTGTCAATTTCTACACCGGTTTTTGTGATCAAATTAGTGTGCTCTAATTGAGTTGCATGACCGCCATCCTTTGTTAATGTAGTCTAGTTATCTTCCCATTTAACAAAATCTGTTGTTCCAAGTGTAAGAATTGGTTATGCACAAAATCTGTAGTCTAGTAATCATCAATTATAATGATAGGACTTGGGAGGAAAAAGAAGAATGGAAAATAGCTAAATGATTAATATCTTAAAACTCTAAATACATTAAAACGGAATTTTTTTGGCTTAACCCAATAAGTCAAAAAGAAACAACCACTTGAAATCTCTGGTAACAATTTTGAGCTTACATATATGTATGTGATCAGGAACAGGAAGAAATGATGATACCTTTAGACACCTTAAAGGTGTTCTTCATTTAATTGATGTTGAATCTAAAGAACACATTAACAATTCATAAATAATGTTTTAAAAGATTGATGACATTGCACTTGATCTAAATGGATGTAATCACATAATAAAAATCATCAACCTTATTTATACAAAAAAAGTGACAGTTTTTCCCTTCGACGAAAATGATTAAAACGATAATCTCTAAGGAACAAAAAAGTATTGTTAGCTTTTTTTCCCATGCTTTAATTGATTAAGGATTATACACCCTGAAAACCCAATTACCTTCATCACCAAAATAATTGATGCTGGAACCCAAGAAATCGGTTGAATAATTTCTAAATCTGATACGCTCACATCTCAATCATTGCCTTCATTTAGACCTTTCTAATGAATATATAAATTTACATAGCTTCTAAATCAGTAAAAAAACGAAAATAAAAATCATGATTCATAATAAAAATCAAAATGGAGTCGAAGATCCAGATTCATACCTCATATATGCCCAAAGTTAAAATTAATACCCTCAACTTGAAAAAAATTGTGTTATTAGCAATATCAATGCAGTGATTTCAATAACTTGAAAAAAAAATTATGTTATTAGAACCTGTTCTTTGCTGTCAACTTGAAAAAAAAATTGTGTTATTAGCAATATCAATGCAGTGATTTCAATAACAAAAAACAATTAAAAAAAAGCAGTAAGGTCGAAATTGAGTAGGCTAAGCAACAACAACTAACGAAAAAATTTCTTTTTTTTGGACAACTCGTACCTAATGGCTTATTGGTGCAATGCGAAAAGCGTTTTTAAAAAAAATGGAAATGCAATGATAAAAACGGTTAATTTTTAAAGAAATTTAAGATTGCAATGCTAAAACTGGTAAGTTTTTAAAAGGAAAAAGAAACTGTTACCGGTTAGTTTTTCAAGAAAATACAAAGTGCAATGCTAAAATTGGTTAGGTTTTGAAAAAAACAATGAAAGTGCAATGCTTCTATTGGTTAGTTTTCGAAAAAAAAAATGCTTTTATGGACATTCAAAATTGTCAATAGTTGCAACAATAAAAATATAATATGTATAAATTACCAAGATTCAGATTGATTTTGATGTTAGATAACTTCTCTTCTTTGTAGGCTCCACTTCATTGTCACATTGAACTCCTGAATTCCACTACCATCCTCTACATAAATATATAAATCATTAAATTCAAATTGATTTTGGTGATTTTATAGCATTTGAACATAACTGTAACTTACTTTGATGTTAATTTACCTGAAAAAAGAAGAGAATACCCAGATTAAAATACCAAAGTTTTGCTAGAGTGTATATTGGCATTAACCCATCTTCCCCATGTTGTCAAGGCTTTACCAAAAGTTGTCACCGCAAAACTGGAAGACTGGACCTCCATTGCACACAGACCACACAAGACTCGTGGCAGCAACACTGTTGATTTTCTTGTCCTTCTAATAGCTGCACAACTAACAAAATTCTAAATCAGTAACCTGGTAAAAGTCAACGATAACAGAAGAGAGAATGAGGAGGGGTCAGATTTTATGTCTGAAAGACAAATTATTTTCACACCCAAATGACGATTGTTGTGACCTACAAATCGCAATTGTTGTGACCCAGATGAAAACCCACATGCAAAATACTATCTTCCTTCACTCTATATATCGGTTATTCTATTCCAGTCAATGAAAACACAAAATCGATTGCAATCCTTTCTGCCTCTTTCCTGTGGTCGCACAAGCCAAACAAATCAAAAGACATGTGATCAGAAGGTGGGATTCATAGAGGAAAAACAAATTAATACCAACAAACGGTGGAACCGGCAGGTAATACTAATTTTAGAGAGATTAAGAAGTGTTTCAACATGCCTGCTATCTTTTCTCTCACCCGTCTTGCTATCAACAATTGTTAACTTTTTCGTGTGAGGCTTGCAAAAATAGCTTTACAATCCAATTCAGCTTACTTCTGTAAACAAAAACATTAACAAAGATTTATCTGAAGGCAAATTACACAACAAAAACCACAAATTCAATTTCGATAAGCCCTAAAAATAGATAAATAAAGAAATCCTATTAACCCTTAGCCACAAAAGCAAATAAGACAAAATTAAGAGGAACACGGGATTCAATTCTGGTGCCAGGAGTGATTTCCTCTTATCATAACAATAAAAGATCATATATAGAAACTATCGTGTATAAGATTGAACTTTGAAGAGTGGAAGAAAATCACTTACACACAAAGTGAAGAAGTGGAGGAAGATTCGCAGAGCCACACATGAAGTGGAGAAAGGAAACGAACTAAAACCTGGTTTACAGAGAAAGAGAATTAGAGAAGGATGACAGTGAAGCGGCAATCGCAAGAGAAGAATAGGCCTTTTTTTCAAAAACGTGGAGACTCTACCCATAAAAAGCTCAAAATGGAGTCGAAGATCCAGATTCATACCTCATATATGCCCAAAGTTAAAATTAATACCCTCAAACCACTATTAACTGGATCTCAGGGAAGATAACCCAAATCTCCATGAAGATTAAAAGGTTTTGTTGATCGAAAAAAAGTTAACAGAAGATTGTTGGCAGCGATGAATACCATCCAAAACCCTAAACTTTCGTCGAGAGAAGATTGTTTGCCTATAAGAAGTCAGCATATCAAATACCTATTTACAAGCAGAGTATATCGTTGATTGATTCTAGATTTTAGGAAAAAATTAGAGTACAGAGACGAAAAAATAGGCAAACTGAATTGCGCCGATTCAATTTGAAGTGAAGGGCATTTACGTAAATTGAGCTGAAGAAAAGAAGCGGGAAAACTTTATTTTAGGGGCCTGGGAGACCGACACGTGGCACGATTCTACTTATTTATTAGGATAGGATTATCCAATTATACATTGAAATAATCCTTTTATTAAATGAAAAAATTACATTAAACACACATCACCAACACTATATTTAGTGTTGGGTTAGAGCAACTTAACACCATATGTTAGTGTGGTGTTGGAGATGGTACTTCGATTAGTTATTTGATCATTCTTTTTTTGCTTACTGCCATTATTTCTATCTTCTATCCTCAGAGAGATCCAAGGTAGTGGTCTAGAAGGACCAATACCTGAAAGTCTTTCCTTCTTGAGAAATTTAACAGAACTGTAAGTTAAACATATACTCCCTCCATAGGATCTTCAGTTCTTTCTATTCATGCAGTAAGTACTAATCAACATATCTTTATGTGATGTGTGCAGACGAATTTTTGATTTAAGTGGAGAGGGCTCACGTTTTCCAAATCTGAGTAGGTTGACAAGCTTGAATAAGTTGTAAGTTATAGGGTGTAGAAATCTACTAACAAGACTTTAATTTCAAAACTGGTACCTTCATAAACTTTGGTGGATGTTGCAGGATGTTGAGAAGCTGTAATATAACTGGGAGTATTCCTGGTTATATATCGCAAATGTTCAATTTGAGACATCTGTAAGTCCTCTCTCTTCAGACCATATCTGTTTGCAGTATCTTATATTTCTACATGTAAAGCTTCTTTGATTTTCTATTTAAATTTCCTGAAGTATTCTCTCTATCTATTTTCATATACTTACACAGAGATCTCAGTTTCAACAATCTGAATGGTGGTATACCAGATCTTAGTGAACTGAATCTTGAAAAAATGTAAGAAAGATATGCATTTACTTTTTCCCTGTATGATTTTCTTCAAAACTATTATTTCTCTTGATTGCAGAATCATATATGTTTGCAGTAGTATTCTACTCTTGAGTTTCTTTGATTTAGTGAAATGACTTGACTAGGTATCTGACTGGTAACTCCCTAGACAACAGTTTTCCTACATGGATCACCGGTAATCTGTATGTTTTTTTGACCCTCATTTTCATAATAAATTTTCTTAGAAGATGGTGTTTGTTATAGTTCATAGGCATTTACTGTAATGCAGTGTAGTAGATCTTTCCTACAATAACTTCAGTAAAAACACGGTACCACGAGTTTGTGGTGAATCACTGTAAGTTTTAAAAACTCTAATATTCCTTTCATGCACACATCTAAATTAAACTTAAAGTTTTATTTCCTTTATTAGGAACTTATTCAGAAGCTACTCTAGTGGGAATGACTCGTAAGATTATAACCCTACCATTATTCTTTAAAATGAACAGAAATTATATATAATAAGAGGCATCTGATGTTTGGTTTGATGCAGAGACCTTGGGAAATGCCTTAGCACCCGTCCTTGCTTAAAGGGTGAGCAACATGCATCCTTATAATGTTTTATTTCCATAAAAAATGAATGGAACTCGTTTGATTTATTTTATATTTCTCTAGACTACTATTCAGTTCATATAAATTGTGGAGGGCCACGAGTTACCATTGGAAACAAGACTTATGAAGCAGATGAAGATTCAGGTGGACCTGCAAATTTTGTTCCTTCAAGTGATCATTGGGGATATAGTAACACAGGAAGCATGTGGTCTGCGAATGACAGTGTTGCAAATTATATCGAAACTAATGCATCTATACTCACTATGAATGGCTATGAACTTTATACGAAGGCTCGCCACACGCTCCTGTCTCTCACTTACTATGGTCGTTGCTTAGCAAATGGAAAGTATACTGTGACTCTGCATTTTGCTGAGATAGTTTTCAGAGATAAACAATCTTACCAGAGTCTTGGAAGACGTGTTTTTGATGTTTATGTTCAGGTTGAATATTCTTTTTTTGCTAAACTTTCACAAGTGGACAATTTTCATACTCAAAATAGATCTATGATATATTTGTATAAGTCCTGTTCGTGAAGGTTTCCCATTTGATCTCCAAATTCAATGACATTTTTACTTAATAATCAACAAGAATGAATGGTGCAGTTCCTTTAGTTTTTGTATTGTTGTATTTTTATTTGTTCTTTTCTCCTTTTTGCAGGGTGTAAACATATTGAAGAATTTTGATATCAAGATTGAAGCAGGCGGGGTTGTTAAGGAAGTATATAAAACCTTAAAAGGCATACGTGTTACTAATAAAACATTAGAAATCCGGTTCCAGTATGCTGGAAAAGGTACAACAGCTGTTCCAATTAGAGGAGTGTATGGCCCTTTGATATCTGCCATTTCTATGGAGGCTGGTATGTATATTCTCCACATATTTTATATTCTGCCATACAACTCTAATTTACAGGAATTACAATTAAATACATAATAAACTACATAAATAATATTTTGACTAATACGCCCCCACAGAGCATGCGGAAGAATGCGAAGACTAGTCTTGAATCTCTGAAACAAAGCTCTAGGTTGACCTTTAGTGAAAATGTTTATGATTGTCATATACTATGTGTGGTTTATGATTGTCATTTCTATTATAAAAATAATCTATTGATAATCTCTTCAAGTGACTTACTGTTACTAATATATATTGTTTTCATTAGAGTTCAAGCCTCCAGCTCATGGCAAAAAATATACATTTGTCATCATTGGAGCGGTGGCTGCATTGTTGTGCCTCAGTCTCATAGTTCTTGGCATCGCATGGAAGAGGGGTTATATGGGGGACCAAAATTCAAGAGAAAAAGGTGTTTGATTACTAGTTAATTAAACTTTTGCCATGTACTTGTTTAATTGTAGTTTGTGAAGTACATTTATTTCTTTGGTAAAATATTGTTTGCTTGTAGACCTAAGAGGATTGGATCTGCAGACTGGTGCATTCACATATAGACAAATCAAGGCTGCCACTGACAAGTTTGCTGATTCAAATAAACTTGGGGAGGGTGGTTTTGGGTCGGTTTACATGGTAACATTGTAACATGCATTAAATTTTCTTTTTGACAATTCGCATTGTGAAAAATCTACAGAAGTTCACTTGGAACGTTTTCTGATGTAAAAATATAAAATATGAAAGAAAATATTAATTATATTGAGAATACATCTACTTCATTATCTAATTCATCAATTACAGGGTACCCTATTAGATGGAACTCCAATTGCTGTGAAGAAACTCTCTTCGAAATCAAAGCAAGGAAATCGTGAATTTGTGAATGAAATAGGCATGATAGCTGGTATACAACACCCAAATGTTGTAAGGCTATATGGCTGTTGTGTGGAAGGCAACCACCTACTACTTGTTTATGAGTACATGGAGAATAATTCTCTAGCACATGCGCTATTTGGTATTCTCCTTTCCTTCTACTTCTTAAGTAGCAACTCCCTCCACCCCCTTAGAATTTTGACTTTTATATTCCACTTTGTACATTAAATATGCAATCACTAGTCAAATTTGTAAAATAGTAAAATATTGTTTAGTTGAGATTTTCAACTCATTTAATTATTAAATAGGTCGACCCACTCAACCCATTTAATCAAATAAGTTGTGTTAGGTTTAAAACTTGTGAATTGTTTCCAGCCTGCCAATGCATTCAAATACATATTTATTGTTATTTTGTATACTATTTTTATCTTATAAATTATAAAATACAAAAGCAAAACTCCAAACTCTTAGAAATTTCGAATGTTGTGTCGATAATCAAGTTGTAGTTATATACTTATATATTTATCTGAAAGTTTGAACAATTATTTGGGTTTGTTACTATTTTAACTAAAAGAGTCAATCTAACATTTTCTTCTAAACTTTGAAACTTAAATGAGTCAATCTAGAGCAATCCATTTATCTAACAGATTGGGTTGAGAAAAAAAAAATGGGTCAACTTGATCAGGTCAATCCTTTTATCTAGGGATCTGGTTGAGCTGGAAATCTCAAAAGTTTAATTAAACAACTTGGGGTGCATCGGATGAAAATCTCAACCTGTTTGTTTGAAAATAAACAGGTCAACCTGCATGCACCCACCCAACATGGCCCATTTCCTGTTTCACCAAAACCAACAACATGAATATTATAATAACGATAGGTAGTTATAGGTTTGAGCATTTGCAAAATAACGAAATGTTACATATTAAATTGGACATCCCGAAGTGTAAACTATGTTGTCTTTATTTCCACAAAGGGAGTCTATCTTCCATTTACAACAAATTTCTAAATTTAAGATTTAAAATGAATTTATAAAATATCAGAGCACAATAACTCTAAGTTGGAAAGTGATTGGCCTACAAGACAAAGAATTTGTGTTGGCATTGCAAAAGGCTTGACATTCCTTCACGAGGATTCGGTGCTCAAAATGGTTCATAGGGACATCAAGGCTTCAAATGTACTCTTGGATGCTGACCTTACACCAAAGATCTCAGATTTTGGTTTGGCCAAACTTGATGAAGAAAAAAACACTCACATTACCACTAGAGTTGCTGGAACTATGTGAGTAGTTGTCTTGTTGTTCCTTTTCTTATATTGTAACGCTTATTTTACTTTTAATTATTCATTTGCTCAATTTGCTTTTGGTACTCACAGAGGATATATGGCACCAGAATATGCATTATGGGGCTACTTAAGCTACAAAGCAGATGTATACAGTTTTGGGGTTCTTGCTCTAGAAATTGTTGCAGGAGAAAATAATATTAAATATCGGCCAACTGAAGATTATTTTTGTCTTCTTGATTGGGTAATTAAACCTGTTTATAAAAGAACTATAGATCGATTTTTCCCCACAAATCCCAACTTATTGACTTATCTATTTCTCCTTTCTAAGGCCGTTGTTCTGAAACAAAAGGGGAGTTTGATAGACTTGGTGGATCCAAGATTGGGCTCCGGATTCAACAAAAAAGAGGCAGTGAGGATGATCAAAATTGCTCTATTATGCACTAATAAGTCCCCAGCTCTTAGGCCTACCATGTCTGAAGTAGTTAATATGCTTGAGGGTCGTATCAAAATCAAGGAACCTAACATGAAAGTAATTACGTCTGAAGAGGAGATTGTGATTGGAGAAATTGGACGGACGTTTAAAGAGATGAAACCCCATGAGTCTGTTCAAACAGTGATTTCTATTGAGGCAACAGCTTCCAGCTCAAACAGCCGGCCTGTATCCCAATAGTAAAAAATTCTGAAAAATGTTGACATGTACTAGAGTAAGCATTAGTATCATAGTCAAGTTCTTTATACTAATATAAATGAGATGTTTATATTTCATTTTAAGGATTTTAAATATCTTGCTGTGACACTAATACAGTATATTTGAAGCATATAGTTGTATACATGTGTGCATAGAAACAGTCTTTTTGAAAAAAATTGTTTGATACATTTCATCAAATCTTGGTTGGTTGTACAAGAAATTTGCCTTCAGAGGGGGTGAGTGTCTGAGTGGGTGATGTGTTAAATTGTTAATGGTTGATGGTGGTGGTTATTATGTTCACAGTGAAGATGGTGTGAGCGACGGTGCTGTTAGCAATGGTTCCAGTGGGGGTATAGGTGGGTCCTACCTGAAAATAAAAAAATAAATAAGAAAAATTATTACAAAAACAAAACTATCGGGTGTCAACTTTAGGGACCAAGTCTTTTCTTTTCTTTTCTTTCTCTTTTTCTATGCTAATAAATAAGTATCTTTTGTGACACGTGTCACTCTATTAGCCTTTCTCATAAAATTTTCCCGCTTACGTATATGGTCATCAACTCTATCAATTCTTATTCCATTCATTTAGATAACACACATCCCATAAAATCAACAACTAAATCATAGACAATAATAAAATCAGCAACATACTCGCAGAAAATCTTGGTTCCATAATTATGTATTGCCGATTTATCAAATGAATCCCTATCACACCCATCTCATTTGAATTCAAAATTCGAAACCACCTCTCTCTTTTCTATTAATCTTTTTTTTCTCTACAAGAAGATTGGGCAATAGCTAAAGTTTTGAAAACAAGAATGCAAAACAAATAACCAAAATAACTCTTTGATTAATTGGAAAATCACTCAAAACCAATGTTTTTACAATCTATTCTCATAATCATAAACTCGATTATGGACACGTATATATAGCCTAACATACCAACTTGTATTAGACTAGGAAACTTATGACCAACTTGCCATAAACTAAACTTTCCATAAATTAGATTGCTTGGAACCCAAGACTTAGGATTCCAACAATCACCCCCGAATCTCTAAGTCCTTCTAGAGAATTCTTCAACCCAATCAATATCATATTATCTCTTTTCACCACCCCAACGTCTTTATCAAGCTTGTTCTGAGAGCAACTTTCCACCTAACAACAAGACTAGGTCACGACCACATTTACCGTCTTCCGTCACTCGCAAAACGAACCGAATCAAAGTCACCCGCTTTGACGTTTTCTCGTCCATTTATTTTGTGCATCCAGTTGGTCTCTCTCTACCTTAGAACCAACCGGATCAAGAAAAACCGAGGTTGCTGTTGAGATGCTTCAACTCGTAATCAAAAACAATCTACACCCCCTTAAAACGAACCCGGTTCCCGCTACGTCTGCCCCATAGCGAAAGGCTACGGTATTCTTGAAACCGACTCTCAAACCGGCACAGTGTTCACCTCGCTCTGATACCAATTAAAGAGGTAATTGCATAAACTCGCAAAATTTATTATTGAAGAAAACTATCTCAAAAACTCCAATTTTATTACAGGATCCTATCTCATTATATACTACACAAAACACAATAGAATATAACTAGGATTCTGTTATAGGAACGTCTACACTTTCCTAATATATGTTTCCTTATGACTCAAGGACTCTAGAACTTGGACAGCACTCCAAGTAACTGTGATCTGGACCAAACACGCATAACTCGCCACATTGGACTCAGATATTCACCAACAATAGTGGCGACACGTGTCGCCGCTAAAGGGTGGGCGTGTCGCCGCTAATACCTTTAGCGGTGACATGTCGCTGCAAATGCGTCGCCGGTATTGTTTCGGCGCTAATACGATAAATGTCGCCGCTAATACTTGTTGTCGCCGCTAATACCTCGCGTCGCTGCTAATACGAATGGTCGCTGCTAATAGTGTGTCGCCGCTAATAACATAGTGTCGCCACAAAAGTTGTCGCCGCTAATACTCTTTTGATTTTTTTTTAAATTTATTTAACATTAAATTTATAATCAATCCAACTATTAATCCATATAGCATTTGAGAAATCTGATATCTTTTTATAGAAATATTAATACATATTATACAATCAATCCAAACTATTAATCCATACCACATTAAGTATTCTTCCAAATTACAAAACATTTTATAAAATCCTAAAATAACTACTCGTCCTCATCATCATCTCCTTCATTATTTGGTGGCGGCAATGAGCGAAACCACTCTTCCAATGTTGTAGAACAGGCCGGGTCCTGTAGTATTGTTTGGAGCATTTGCAACTATAAAGAGAACAAAATATATTAACAACATATCAGAATAACATTATAATTAATTATATCATTCTACAAAATATCAACATATCAAATACACTTAAACATACGTCTACTTTCCATTATAGCATTGTACTTTCCAAAAATTACCAAACTACAAAATATCAACATATCAAACCATAACCAACATATCATTATACCATTCTACTTTCCATTATAGCATTGTACTTTCCAAAAATTACCAAACTACAAAATATCAATATATCAAACCATAACCAACATATCATTATACCATTCTACTTTCCATTATAGCATTACTTTCCAAAAATTACCAAACTACAAAATATCTACATATCAAATCATAATCAACATATCATTATAGCATTCTACTTTCCATTATAGCATTTACTAACAATTACCTGTGATTGTGGTTGTTCTTGTGTCATTGGTTGTTGATGATCATACATAGACACAATGGTAGGGGGTTTACTCCCAATGCCTCTAATATGTCCGCGTCGAACACCCAATATTCTTTCAAAACAATCTTTTATATCAGTTGGTGCTAGATCGCTTGCCTTAGAAGTAGCTTGGGTTCGTTGGTTTATCTCTTCGAGTAAAGCATTCTGTATTTTTTAAAAATAACAAAAATCATAAAAATTAGATTAGTAAATACCTTTGACAATATAAACACTTATATGAAAAATACAAATTAACCACTTACGTATTGTTGCTCGACTGCAGGACTATAAAATACCCCTTGCCGATTGGAATTAGCTTTACGAAAAGCTTCGATTCGACTGATATCCTATTTAACATTTAACATTAAGATTTAGATTAGTTATACTTTAAATAAATATTTAAATATATCATAACTTACTTCTTTGAAACATGCATTGCTATATGAGCTCGACCCCCCTCTGTTTACAACTACTTGTTTTGCACGACATTCCTTATTTGATGCCGAACGTCTTAAAAATTCTTGCGTTTGAAAATGTTCAACTGCCTTCGCCCAATTTTCATGTGACATTCCGTTAGGGGGGTTGTTTAATGCGGCTTGGATGTCTGCAGGCCCCCCGATTTCCTTAAAATAAGCATGAGCTTTACTTTTTCGGCCTCTGTAAACTTTTGCAAGACTCGAATCAATGCTCCGCAACAATTGAGCACGCTCCGGATCCATGTTAACCTTATCCAAATCAAATTTATTCTGCAAAACACAAAAATTTTAGTTAATTAAATAACAATCACAACTAAACTTAAAATTGTATCCAAGTTACCTTTAGATGAACAACTGATGCGTTCCTTAAAGCGGGGGAAACATTGTCCCAACCAGATACGTTGAAAGGGACATTGTTCCACAAATACCTCCTAATTTCATGGGTGAACCAATTACCACGCTTCCCGACAGGGGAATATGTGATCTCCCTGTCGAAATCCAAATCTATGGGCTTTCCCTTATTTGCCCTTATCAACTTTCCCAACTCAATATTTTTTGACATGCCCCTCCTTTTTTTAGGAAGCTCGGCTGAAAAAATACAATTAAACCTATTAGTCACGATAACTTATTATAAAATAATAAAAATAGTTAATAAATATATCATAATAAAACTCACCATCTTGTTCGTGCTGACTAGAACCAAAGCCTCCTGGAGGTGGTGGATCCCCGGCTCCATCACCTCCGTGTCCAAGCCCCATAACATCGGCCATCATGGCCAAGAGTATTGCCCAAGTAAACCTCATCTGCAATATAAATAAAAGTTAGTTACCCTGCGAAAGTGTAAGATATACAATATAGACAAACAACATAAGTAAAAGTTAGACAAACAATATGAATTAAAGGTACATTTCAAATAAAGTTTCTATTACCAAAAAAAAATTGATTTTTTAATCAGAATCTTGATCATATACTTCAATGTCTTCTTCATCCGTATCATAATCAAAATCGCCATCATCATAATCAGTCTCTTCATCGGAAACATTATCGATTCTACCCGTTGGCGGAGGTACTTCAGTCTCGTCTTCATCATCACAATCAGCATTGTTTTGAGCTACGTCAACATTGTTTTAAAAGTATTGTGAGAAGTCAATAAAAAGTCTAGCTCCAGATGAAGAGTTGTTTTGAACTATGTCAACATTTTCGGCCTCCATATTGTCGACATCTTGGACAGAGTCACTGTAAGCATTTTGGACACGAGGATTGTTGGATGGTAGATCCCAAATATTTCGATGATTAACATGCTCGACGACACAACAAGGGTTGTTGTTTTGGTTTCTTCGATGATTAACAGGCTCGCGGATGTAGAACACTTGTTTGGCTTGCGAAACATATATGAGTTGATCATCTTGGTACGCTTCTTTTTCTGTGTCGATACTTATGAAATTATCATCAGGATTATCTCCCATATCAAACCACTTGCACCGAAATATTACAGTCGAATAATCATATGGATATTGCACCTCCATAATCTCTTCTAACTGGCCATAATATTTCTCTCCATTCTCACCAACCGCTAGAACCCCAAAGTTTTGCGTTTTGCGTTGTGCATCACGACTAAGTACCATAAACTTAACACCGTTGACTATGCACGCAGTGTAAGTATAAACATCCATTTGTGAACCCATTGAAAGGGCTGACAACTCTTTGTGGAATTCAGGAGAGTTTTCTTTTTCCATCTGATAAACCTATTAAACATATGTTGATGTGTTATGTATTCTTGATTCATTAAATTTATGAAAGATATTTGTTTGTTAATTATGATTACCTTTTCAAGAAACCAGTTGGGAAATTCGGTCTTTTCGTCACTTTCAGGATGTTCAGATTTGAATTTTCTATATTGATGAAATATATATATATATATATATATATATATATATATATATGTATATATATA